TAGGTCATAGAATGCCTATTACTTGACTTTTACCTAAGTTGACTCACATACATTCATTCATTTCACAAGTATTAATTTAAACCTTACTATGTAATAGGCACTATGCTAGACACTTAGGGATTAAACGTTGAAAGGAACAATATTTCCCCCTTAAGGAACCTAGAGGCTACTGGAGAAATCATTTTATAGACATTACAGACAATATAGTAGCCCTTATAGTAGAGATTTAGGAGAGCAAGGTAATGACATAATCATAATTGTAGTTCAGTAAAATCATTTGGGGAGGGGAAAATGAGGTCAAGACTGGAGTCGGGGGACCCTGATGATGGGAAAGATGGTAAGCACGTCAATGTGGCAATGGGCATGGAGAAAAGGGGCAGCTCAAGACTTTGGGGGAAAAATTATCTGCCAAATGTGGTGATTGGCTGCAAAGTTAAAGGAGTAATTGATATGGGCAGAAACATGACGGACTTAAAAATTAAAAAAGAAGTGCTTTTATTATCTGAGCTCAGCGGAAGCACAGTTCCCAAAGGCAGCCCGGGCAGTGCACCCCCCAGCCAGGGGCTGCAGGGTGTTATGAAGTAGCAAGTCACCAGGGGAGGGGTCAGGGTCTTAGGATCAGTTTGTCCCCATAAAAGGAACCGGGGAGGCGGAACAAGCAGTTACAGAAACCAGAGAGGCAGGGAGGGGTTACATGGTGGGTATGTTACAAGGTTGCAACTTAACTGGCAATTACACAAGTTTTACAGGAAAAGAACAAGTTATAATAAGTACAGCACATTCTGGGTTTTTGAGCTTATAACAGTAATGACACTGTCTACTTGGCTACAATTACTGAATGAGAGTAGATTTAGGAGCAAAGAAAATTAATTTGAAATTTTCAGATGATGTTTTCCAGGGCACCTTGAGATATAAAGCGTGAGGTTTAGAAGGAAGATAAGGCAGAAATAGAGGGAGAAAGAATTCCAAGTCATTAGAGTATGGACAGCCCTGGAAGCCATGGGTTTGGACACAATTGCCTGGGGAATGAACTCTACAAGAAGATGTATGAATTAAAGCTAAGGCAGTCGCCAGACTGAACAAGCCATCTAGAATGTGGCAGAGGCCCCCATTTTTCTAAAATACTCCTAGAAGACGCAGAGTGCATGAATGGAATTGCAAAACCACTTTATGGAATTTTCTTTGTTATTTTGTAGCAATCATTAATTGGGCAGACTTAGAGGTCTTAACATTGACTGCGTTTACCTTCCTTCTGAGGAACTTTGCAGTGTCCTTTGTGTCTTCTAAAATTTCTTTTCATGGGACAAATGGAGCAAAGATGACTATACTGTTCTGAAAGCTGGGAGAATTTTGAGTACAGAATCTCTAGACTTAAAAATTTAGTATAAAAACATTTTCCAAGTGTCAATAGCCAATTTTTATATGTGATGAAATCAGAACTAGGACATTACCAAGGCAGAGGGAGTGAGGAGGGGAGGGGAAGGGAAAGGCATGAAAAAAGAACTGAGATGTGTTGATATGTATACGTGCCAACTCCCCAGGAGGAATGTGACCATTATGTACTACCATTGTGCCCTAATAAAAAATGAAAATTGAGCAAAAATAGGAGCTCGGGTTTCTGCTCCCACTTGACTGTTTGCTGAGGTTACAGGATGGATCAGACAATACAAATGTCTTTGAGACCCATGAGCGAGGCAGCATGCCCAACTGGGTGCTTAGTTCGTCCTTTCTCTGGGTCAGCTGACCCAGGGGACTCTCCTTTCATCCATCTCCTGGGGTGGCTATGGCCTTTATTGGGCTCATGTTGTGAAAATACAGTCTATATTGCCACCCCTGGCTCTGAATGCTTCTTTTTTCTCCCCTGTTTATCACTCTTCTCCCTTCAAGCAGGATCCTTTTATATTTCAGCCCTTATAGAAAGCTTTATCTGTTGACCATTTCTCTTTGAAGTTTTGATTTGCACTAAAATATTTATAATGTGTAGACAAGCACTAGAAAGGCATTTTAGTTTCTTTAAGATGCCTCTCTTGACTTTCTGAAGACTTTTGAGAACAGGAACTGCCGTAGGCTTTCAGGTCCAGGGTTGCTTTATTCATGGTTGCTTTGGCATCATCCAGCAATCACACCGTCATTAAAGAGTGAGTGTCAGCTTCCTCTTCTGGGGACCACGCTGGACCATTGGCTATTTCTTAGCCATCATATTGGTGACAGACTCTGTGGTAGCACTTAGGGGTGGATTTGATGGCTCTTGTGGGGCTGGCTTTGGCTGGCACACATGTGAGTGGAGGCGAGCACTTCTTGATGTGACCCAAATGGGGGTGCTGGCTTCCGAGCTGTGTTTCCTTGAGTGGTCCTGTGGGTCTCTACAGACTGAATGAGAGATGGCAGCAGCAGAGGGACGTGGCATTTGGTCATGCAGGAATCAAGAAGCACTCCTGGACTGTGAACTCCCAGAACATGGGATTCACGCCTGTGTTTCCTCACATCTCTAGCCTGGTGTGCTTCCAGGTATGTTAGAAGCCAACATATATATTTGTTAAATGATGGAGGCTGAACAGCAACTAGTGATAAGCTCACTAAAGAAGGACTGCTTTAAGGGAGCGTGTTACAGACCAAGAGGAGATGAAAGGGACTCTCCGAATCAGAGGCGACTCATGAGTTTCTGTGCAGTGGATGTCTCTGTCTGAGTCAGATGCTGAGCCTAAGGATACCATTAAAATCTAAAAACTGTGGTATGTGGGTGAGACTTGTCATAGCTACTTCCTTACTGTAGGGCTTCTCCTATATGATTGGGTTAGCAAAAATATTCTAAATAAGCAATGCACTTGAGGCTTCTTGAAACCAAATAGTTTGATGGCTTGAAAATATATGCCATTGACTGTGGATTGTATTTAAATGCCATCCTCCTGATTTCTCACATTATCTTAAATTATGCAATGAATATGAGAGTAAATAAGTGAACTATGAAACAACCAAAGGATAAAATACCACATAGTCATTAAAAATAACATTTCTCCAAGGCATTAATTGATAATTGTAGCTTCTCATTATGTAAAGTACACAAAAAAGCAATAAACTATATCTTGGCACATACAGAGGCCAACTAAATTCCTTTTGAACAAATGGGCATTTGCTTTAAAATGTTGTCTCTGGGGGAAAAAATATGAGTCTACTGATGGGTGAGCTGCCTGGCTCGTGAAGTGAAGAATCATGGGCTAGTGGTCAAGATCTCTGGTGTAGTCTACACTTCTTTTTCTGTAGCCTGCTGTAGGGTAGAGCCTGCTGTAGGGTGCTCTTCAAGGTGCCTTTCGGGTCCCACATGCTCTGAGTCATGTTCAGAGACTGGCTGGGCAAAGCAGCTGTCACTGAGAAGGATGCCACAAGGCGAGTCCCACATAGCTCACATCACTTTGCCAACTGAGACTCGATCAACCTTGACTTCCTATGGTTTCCCATCATTTTACGGCTGTCTCGAGTTTCCACCTCCTGAGCCGCTCCTGGCTGCTGCTGGGTGAAGAGGCCTCTTGATTTATTAATCAATTAATCTGTGCATGCTGAAGAGCTTTTCGGGGTAGTTAAACAGGGAAAACAAAATGCTGGAGCCCATAATCAAGATGGATCATAATTAAGAATCATCCTCCCACCGATGATCTTCCTGCCCACCCCGGCTGCTCCACTCCACCCTCCTCCCCCATAGCTCGCTGCGCCCCATTCATTTCTGATGGGCTTGGGTTCCATGCAAACTGACAACAGATTTCACAAGGGCAGTTTCCCCTAATGGCCTTGAGGGCAATAATCCTGGAGAGTGGGCCTCTCCAATTATCTGCAACAGCTGTTGAAGCTCAGAAGTTCAGCCGAGCTCAAATGCTGCCACAGTGGCTCTGTCCATCCATGCAGGTAGTGTCTTTTCCTGTCCCAGTTCCTTCACAAATGGAGCCTTGGAGCTAGAGGGACATTACAAAAGCATAAGCTGTGGCCTTGTGTGATGAACCACAGAGTCAGCGAGATTAAGTAAACTGTCCAGCATCATATGGAACCCCAAGGTTGTGACAGATCTGGGTATCCCTACTTTCTTATAAAAAGTACAACAATGTTAACAGAGACATCACCCTCATTAAATCCATTTTCTGATTTCTTTTAGATATTCACCTTGGAGCTGAAATGGCTTTTTGAGGGGGGGATGTTAGGGCAGAGGCTTGCTGTGTTGCACAGGCTGATCTTGAATTCCTGGGTTCAAGTGATCTTCCTGCCTTGGCCTTCAGAATGACTGGGACTTTGAACCTGTAGCACTGCACCCCAACTGAGGTTTTTAATAGCAGTCAGAGGTGAAGTTTTGAGGAAAAGTAGTGTGACCTGCTCTAATACGTCAGAAAATGAAATACAGTTTGCTGGGGGTGAATGATGAACACAAGCTAATCTGTAGAGGTTTGCTGGGAGTGTACAGTGGGCTGCGCTCTGCTCCAGAACCTGTAGGCATGGTTTTCTTCTACTGATACTTAACACACAGTGCTGATGAGGCCAAGAGTTTCTTAGAATAGAATCTCTGTTCCTGGTCACAAGTAGCTGTTATATCCATTATCAGCTTCCAGCTTCTGATGGGGAACAGGAGCCAGGATCCCAGTGCACGGGTCACAGTGACTTCACTCAGCCCTCGTCATGCCCGGCTTACACTGGTGTCCTTTTGGTTGAATCCCTGGGAAGGGTCCAGAGTGGCTACCGTTCTTTAGCAGATATCTTATTTGTCTGGTTGATGAAGATACTCAGAAGTCGTGTTTTGTGACTTCTTTAAAGTTTTCCCTATAGAAGTTCTACATTTTTCAAGTATGTTTGTCTGTGGTAGAGAATGATAGAGACTCGTGTGCCACTCGGGCTTCTCATTTCTGCTAGATGCAAAGTCAGACTCCGGATATATCTAAGGCTTAATTTGTAAACGAGATAACTGAATCACCCTGACCAGCCTTCAGTTACAGTCTCGCTGTTTTATGTTTGTGTCTTTCCAGGATCCTGCTTTCTCAGCTGTGATTCACGAGAAACTCCAGGTCCCCAATACCATCCGAAAGGCGTGGAATGACAGAGATAACCGCTGTGACATTTGTGCCACACACCTGAACCAGCTGAAGCAGGAAGCCATCCAGATGGTGCTGACGCTGGAGCAGGCGGCTGGCAGTGAGCACTACGATGCCTCACCTGGCTCGCCCCCTCTGCTGTCCAGCATACCTACCCTGGTGGGGTCGCGGCACGTGGGCAGTGGGCCCCAGCAGCCCAGGGATTGGGCCTTTGTGCCTGCTGCCTATGCCACCTCCAACTACATAGGACTTGTCAACAAGCACAGCAGTAAACCCAGCAGCCTTGGGGTCAGCAATGGGGCAGAAAAGAAGAGTGGGTCCCCAACCCACCAGGCCAAGGTCAGCCTCCAGATGGCCACCAGTCCCAGCAATGGGAACATCCCCAATGCAGTGGCCATTCAGGCTCACCAATACCTGGATGGCACCTGGTCTCTTTCAAGAACCAATGGGGTCACCTTGTACCCCTACCAGGTAAGTATTTCCATGGGCAAGGAAGAGCAGGGTTGGCTAGAGTCACAGAAGAGCAATAGACAGCACTTCCTTCCTCCACCCTTCCCTGGGAATTCCTCAGCCCAGACCGTAATGAATCCACGTGACCCCAGCCTGCTATGGAGCTGCCTCCTCTCCACCTTCCACGCCTGCCTGCGGTCTGTGGCATCCAGCACGAGACCCTGTTGGTCCAGGCAGTGCCAAGTGTGTCACAGCCATCAGGTCTACTGCATGATACTGCAGGAGTGCAGTATTCCAGCGTAGGCCTGGAAACACTTGGGCTAAGGGCCAGACCTGTCTGCCTGTCAGCGGTTTGTTTGAGTTTACATACAGGGTTTGCCCAACTTCAGGTTCAAATTTGTCAGCTATGAATTTATAAGATTCTTAGTAATGAAAATTAAATAATATAATGTAGGTAAGACACATAGTCTCATCTCGTATATGATAAGGGATTTTAGAAACTAAGACAAATAAGTGACTTTTGAATTGAAGATGATGATGGGTCTCTGAATCATGGTTTTAATGCATTCTGTTGGTAGGACTGGGCTTCACTAAGAATAAAATACATGAGGGACCAGTGACCCCGTGTTAGCGCTGTGCTTCCAGAAAGTGTGAACACCCTTTCTGACCCCTCCTACCTCATCAGACTTTAGCCATTTGCTTTGTTAATCTTACATTCTGTTGGGTTTATGTGACCAAAAGTATTTTCTTCTTTTCACTGATTTGAATTAGTACATACCCTCACATCCTCATAGGAATGAAAAGGCAGGTTTTAAATCTGCCAGGGATTTTTCTTGGGTGGGTTTTCTGTTGGCTGAGAGTTGGACTTTGTCCCCTGTGTCATTTGTATGGGGTGTAACAGTGATGATTGTCTCTGGAGTACAGAGGTGACCATGCTCATGGGGTGTGTTTGCCTGGGGACATAATTGATGTAAGGGATAACCCTAAAAATTTCATGTGATTTTTCACCATTCTGTGCCCTACTACAGGGTGGGTGGCCAGCCTTCTGGTGATATAAGGACTCAGATTTCTTCCATTAAATACGTTACTGTTTTCTGGCACCCATGAAAGATCTTCTGTAATTAGCCAAACAATGAGGGAAGAGGGAGTATGGAGGATCTCACAAGGGGATTTGGAGGCCCAGCCTGACCTGAAGGGTCCCACTTTCCTGCAGAAGAAGCTGAAAACTAAGTCAGTGTATCCGGAACAGCTTTGTTACATGGACTAAAGGTACAGGGGAGCCTGAAATGAGTTAAATGTGGCTGATAAAACTCCTGGTGGCTTTTCTAGGGTGTTTGGGAGGAACATAGGTTGTATCTTCTGATATCCTGAAGGAAAGTTAGAAGCAATGATTATTCTCCTAGGCCGATTGTAGGTTGCCAGACTCTTCATTTACTGGGTGCTTTTTAGTTTCCACAGTATATGGTACATGTTACATGACCTGTGTCCACAGTAGCACCAGCCCTCTCCACATCCAAGAGAGTGGGTTTCCCTGCAGTATCTCCTTCCAACTTTCCTAACTTCCACTGGGCAGATTCCTGTCAACATCTTTCCTTGATACGACTCCTTCTCAGGAATCCTATTTTGACCCACAGCTGAGCTGCTACTTAACTTTTGCATGGAATTTCCCATATGGTTTGTATAAATATAATAAGGAACTCATGACATTTTAGGAATATATTATCATTTAATCTTGAAAATAACTGCCTAGGGTACTGTGTTAGTCAGCTTCCCCTCACTATAAGAAATAACCAGTGACCAGATTATAAAGATGAAAGGTTTGTGCTGGCTCCCAGTGTTGGGAGTTAGTCCTTGATTGTTTTGGGGCCTGTGGTGCTGGGCAGAGCATAATGATGGGAGCCTGTGTGACAGCTGAGAGTAAGAAAGAGGCTGGGTCCTCTTCAAGAGCACCCCCTCAAGTGACCTGAAGACCTCCCAACAAGCCACACCTCTTAAAGGTCCCACCCACTCCAGACTGTTAACACATGAGCCTTCAGAATGACAGTCAGGAGCCAACCTGTTAGTGGTCTAGGTTTGCCCAACCCTGGCTTTTTTTTTTTAATCATGGAATGATATCCTTTTCTACTTATAATTTTAAAAATACCTGTCTATATTTTGAAAATTACAAAAAAGTGATACGTTTGTTATAAAATCAAACTATATGAAAAAGCATAAAGAAGACTTTTTAAGAGTCTTTTAAAGAGTCATCTAGAAGTAAACTATGCAATATTTGGACATATTTCCTCCTGTGATTTTATACTCACAATTTGCAGAATTGTGACTGGTTTCAATTCTATAGCCTGCTTTTCATCTACTATGTTAGGTACATTTTCCCATGCCATTATGTGTATTTCTAAAATATTATCTTTAATGATAGGATAATATTTCATTATTCTCTACTCTTTACGTGTATCCTAAGTTATATCACCATGCATCAATTATCAGAGTTCAAGATTTTGCTACTAGGAAATAAAATGGTCAAGTAAACACTCTTCCCCCCAAGTCATCTTCTCAGCATATCCCACAATTGTGCTAGCCACACTCATGTTACATAGATAACTTGTACTTCACTCACACTTTACCCCTTAAAGCTTTTGGCACACATATTAGACACAAGTCAGAAGACTCAGCTTCTGTACCAATGCCAGAGAGTGCAGACAGAAGGATGAGGGACTGGTGCCCTCAGACAGTATTCAAAGTGTGGCGGAGATTTGTGGGAGAGGGAGAAATCCTTACGGGAAGGTTAGGGATTGGTGGTGCATTTCTTCTGTTTTTGCAGTAACTCCGTCCCTTTTCTCCTATCTCAGATGAAAGCCAGCTTGTTGAACAAGGAGGAGTTTAAAGCTCTGACCGAGCTCCAGGCGTTGTGCATGGTGTGATTAGGCCCCTTGGGCTGGAGCCCCTGTTCTCTCTTGTCCTGCAGGTCTCATAGTGAGGGAGCAGGCAGTGCACTGCCCATAGCAAGGTGGGTAGGTGAGCGCGGAGGTGAGAGTGTACAGCAGGAATGGGAATCCAGCTCCAAGAGCAGTGATGGGTTGATGTGGCTTCGAGCCAGATCCCAAGATGACTCACATAAGCCACCAACTTGAGATTGCCCTGGTTACATTTCAGTGCCTCTCTCCAGCTTCAGAGCAGACTAATTCATGCATTTTCCCTGAGTAATAGTTAAAGGGACCAGAGGAAATCTCTCTGGGATAAAGAGATTTGGGGCCCAGCTATGAATCAGTATCCCCTGTGTTGTGACTGTGTCATCCTGATACCCTGGACTGGGGGCCCTGGCTCTGGCCAGACTGAGCGTCTCCCACTGTGGACGTCTCCCTGCAGTAAATATTCCACAGTTCACAGTCTGGCCAGCTCATCAGAGATGGTTGACTGCTCTGAAAGCTGACCTCATTTTTTCCTGCTCACCCACCCTCCTTCCTCCCCACAGAACAAATTAGCTCTGGATTAGTGCCAAAGCAGTTCCCTGGCCGAAGAGGCACTTGGGCATGGTCACTACTGAGGGTGTTGCTCCTCACCCTTGGAGGCTGAGCCTGTGGGAATGAGGGAGAAGAGGAAGCTTGCCTTTCCAGACTTAGAGGAGGTGAGGGTGACAATGGGGACTCTGGCAAAATATTTATATGGACAACAGAATGGTCCCTGATCTCCCACAGGCCTCCTGTCACTGTGCAGATCTCAAAAGTTGCATTGGGGAGGTCCTTGACTCTTTTTTGATTTGTCTTTCATATTTCTAAAGAAACTCCAAAAAGAATAGGAACTTACTCAGTGTCACAGATAAATATGATTCTATCTAGAGAGGAAAGAAAAAGAATCATTCATGAGGCACTGAGATTACCATGTTCTTCATGAACAAACCATGAAGAAAAATTCTCATTAAGTATCTTAGCAATTTGATGTCATCAAAGAGGATAAGATTGGCTCTTCCAAAAAAAATTTCTTCTAGTAACTTGGAGACATTTGGTATAATCTATGCATAATACTGAAATCAGGAAATACTCTCAAACCTTCATGTGGCCACATGAGTTTTAACTTTGAAAAGATATATCTAGATTAATACCTCATAATGAGATGTTTAATTACTTCTTTTCATATGCTTTGGCCTAATTTATACTCATTATAGTAAATAACTGCAGGAGAGACCATACATGTAACACTTGGAATCTTAAGTTGTTGGTGTTAGAATACATTTTTTTAGGATGGTAACTCACTTTTGCACCATGGTAAGAGATTTGGAGAAAGAGTTCTGGTAGTGTAGCATCTGGAAATTCTTACCTCATGAGGTGATTGTAGGAAACAATTTTTTAAAAGTAGGAAAATATTTTATACACTATAAAGCAGAGATACTGATATGAATGATCTATTTCAAATCCCTCATTTATCAGAGAAGAAACCTGAAACTGAAAGATTAAAAGTTTCACAGATTTTTTCAGAATGTCCTCAATTCTAGCTTGATCTCTTTTGCTGGATTATAAATTCCTGGAACAAGAATCTATTTTATTCCCATGTCCCTGATAACAGATGATGTGTGAAAATTAGAGAAAGTTCAAATTTAAGAGAAGTGCTAAGTTATTTCCCATGACTGGCCCTAGATTTAGGAAAAGCATTTCAGGCCACAAGACCTACAGATGTCACAATTTTTGATGCAAACAACCAGTTATTTGACTTCATGCTAATCTTCCACTGGAAGTATCTCAATTGTACTCAAATCTTTGGATGCAATGAAGAGAATCTGGGTGCCATTTTGATGTAACCCTCAATACAGGAACATTTGAAAGGAAAGAACTTTATTTCACAGGATTTTGATTAAATTGGGCTGATCAAGAAAATTCAAGTTGTGGCTATAGCTGAATGCTGTGTGAGGTCCCGAGTTCAATTCTTGACACCCTCATCCAAAAAAAAGAAAGAAAATTCAAGATAATGTGAGATGCTATGTAAGTAATGAGTGCATTGGATCACTATGAGTGTGAGCAAGGTACAGAGTT